GACAAAATTAATTGACAAATACAACGCAAGCTAAATTGCAGTAATCTATCTATCTATCTATCTATCTATCTATCTATGTCATTTTATATCTACACCAGTTCATATCTATCTATCTCTGTCAGTTCATGTCTATCTATCTATCTATCATAGTATGTTAGCATATGAATCAATGGCTGCATCTACTGCTAGGAAAGTTGGTTCTCTGTGTCACCCCAGAAAGTATTTCACGCCTGAGTCCATCCGTCACATCTACAAATCAACCATTCGTCTATCCATGGAATACTGTTGCCATATAAGGTTGGTGCCCCCGCCGTTCAGCATGAGGTCCTCGACAAAATCCAAAGGATATGCAATGTGATAGGTCCTGACTTGGCATCTCGACTCCAGTTACTTTTTACAGACGTGATGCGATTTCCCTCTGTCTTTTCTACAAATATTTTCATGGCAACTGCACTAATGCGCTATTTTCGCTGGTCCCCCGACTGCATAAATTTAATAAATACTAGGTTGGCACCTCGGTCTCATCCTTTTACTGTCGAAACAGTTAAATGTAGTCGCCTCTTCTACTTCAACAGCTTTCTTCTCTCGCACTTCCCGACAGTGGAACTCCCTTCCTCTTACTTGCTTCCCTTATAACTATAATCTTCAAAAATTTAAAGTGTAATATCAATCAACATCTGTTGTCTTGATCCCCGTTCACCTTTTTATCCTTTCCTCATCTCCACACATATACCCGGTCTTTTCTCTTACTTTCACTATCTGTCGCCCTTGAGTATTAGTGCCACTCCCGCCCTGTTTGGAGGGGAATATTTAAATTAAAAAATCGATGTCTCTGAATATATACGCCTACTTTATCTATCTATCTAGCTATCTATCTATCTAGCTATCTATCTATATATATATATATATATAACTATGACGATTTGCTTAAACGTTCTAGACTCCAACAAGGATAACAAGGAGACATGGAATATGTCCACATATTCACCTCTATGCAACGTACCAGAAAGTTTTTTGCATTTCATCAATTTAATCATATATATATATATATATATATATATATATATATATATATATATATATATATATATATATATATTATATATATTTATACACACACACATATATATATATATATATCTATACACCACACACACATATATATATATTTTATTTATACACCCACACACACACATATATATATATATATATTTATACACACACACACACATACACACACACACACACACACACACACACACACACACATATATATATATATATATATGAGAATAAATATCTTGAGATTTATAGAAAATATTTTCGTTTTTCTCAATTTGTTCATATCTATCTATCATAATCACTTCATCTAAATCTAACCAGATATACGATCAACAAAGCTCAGCAACATTGAACCTGGTCAGTACTTAGATGGGTGACTGCTTGGAAACAGCAGTTACCGTTGGTGTGATGGATAATCGCTCCTAAATATGAAGCGAAGAGCCGAGTTCCAATTTCAGTTAGCTTCGTTATAATCCCTGGTGCGCAAATCAGTGAATTTGTGTGTGTGTGTGTCTATCTATCTATCTATCTATCTATCTATCTATCTATCTATCTATCTATCTATCTATATATATATATATATATATATATATATATATATATATATATATATATATATATATATATATATATATATATATATATATATATATATATATATATATATATATATATATATATATATTTATATATATATATATATATATATATATAGAGAGAGAGAGAGAGAAGAGAGAGAAAAAGGGACATTGAGAGCGAGAGAAACAGATAGACTGTCACACTGTTTATCTCTAGTTCTTCATTTCCATCTATCGATAGATAAGCAGATATCGATATCCATCTATCTATCTATCTATCTATCTATCTCAAACACTTCATATCTCTCTCAATCCATATATAGCTACCTATGTAGCTATATATATATATATATATATATATATATATATATATATATAGCTACATAGGTAGATATATGCCTATCTCGCTATCTCAATCTCTTCATATTCATTTCCATCGATCTATCGATCTGTGTCAGTCGGTCTATTGTCTATTTGTCTATCACAGTCTTTTCACTTAAATATGTTTTGAACAATAAAAAATATTAAAAAATTAAAATCTTCAGACGCACTGGCTTTTATATTAATATTCTTTTGTTTTTCTTATTTCAGTTAGATTCCTCGACTTGTTTCGACCAACATGGCCATCATCAGGAGCGTACAAAAAATTCTGCTTGTTAGTAGCAGTGAACTACAGAAATGAATGTCTTGATCGAGAAAATGAACTTTTGTCTGTAGTTTTCATTTGTTTTTTGTTTTTTTCATTTTTTAACATGAATTTTGTTCAGTCCTTGTGTTGGTTAAAAAGTCTCTTTTAAGTTGTTATTTAAGATAAGATTTAAGATAAGTCTATATGTCTTTTAAATATATTATTTTTGCCAAATTCATAAAATAAATTAAATATAAAGATAAAATTAGCAGAACATCTATTGTTTCTTTTCGCTAAATAGAGAAAAAACACAGGTGCATCAAGGAACTTTTTTAGAAGACCTTTTTCGAATATAAATAAATAATAAATCAAAATTGATAGAAATGAACTAAAAAAAGGTCGGATCAATAATATACTTCGTCTATTTCTTTCTTATATTTTATAGTATATCCTTCTTTTTGTCTTTCTCTCTTTCTGTAGCGATGGGGAGGAGAAAGGAGACTAGAAAGGTAACTAAAACGAGAAAGTGAGAAAAAGAAAGCAAAGAAATTGCTAAAAATGAGAAAAAGAAAGAGAAAAAGAGAGAAAGAAAGAAACAGTTAAAACGGAAAAAGATAAGGAGGTACAACTTAGGAAAAGAAAGAAGGAATTAAGCCAAGAATTTAAGTTTGGAACGAGGAGACAAAAAGAAAGAAAGGACGAAAGAAACATTGAAAGAAAGTAAAAGAAAGAAAGAAAGAAAGAAAGAAAGAAAGAAAGAAAGAAAGAATTAGACCTTATGGAAAAAACTGAGGAAGAACAACCTGGCAAAAGAAAGAATTAAACAAATAATTTAAGGTTGAAATGAGGGGAGAAAGAGAACGAAGAAATGAAAGACAGAACAGCATAATAGGAAAAGAAGAAGGGAACAGTGTGAAGAAAGAAGGAAAGAAGGAAGAAAGGAACAGAGAAAGAAGAAAGAAGGATATACAAAGAAAGGAAGAGGGAGAAAAAAGAAGGCAATAAAGACGAAAGGATGAGACATAAGAAAGGAGGAAAGGATGACGAAAGGAACAGAGAGAAGAAAAAAGCAAATAAGGAAGAAAGAAGAGGAAAGAGAGAAGAAAGGAAGACAGAGAAGAAAGAGAGAAATGAAGAAGAAAGAAAGAGAGAGAAGAAAGAAAGGATGGAAAAAAAGAATAGGGAGAAGAAAGAAGGAAAGAAAGAAGAAAGAAACAGAGAGGAGAAAAAGAAAAAAGAGAAGGAAGAAAGAATGGGGGGGAGAATGGAACAAAGAGAGGAAAGAACGAAAGAAGGAGGAAAGAGAAAAAGAAGGAAAGAAAGAACATTGAAAAGAGAGAAGAAAGAAGGAAAGAAAGAAGAAAGTAACAGAGAGTAGACAAAAGGAAAGAAAGAAGAAAGAAAAGTGAAAAGGAATGGAAGGAGAATGGAACAAAGAAATGAAAGAACGAAAGAAGGAAGACAGAGAAAAAGAAGGAAAGAAATAACATTGAAAAGAGAGAAGAAAGAATGAAAGAAAGTATAAAGGAACAGAGAGAAGGAAAGAAAGAAGAAAGGAACAGAGAGAAGGAAAGAAAGAAGAAAGGACAGGGAGAAGGAAAGAAAGACGAAAGGAACAGTGAGTAAACAAAAAGAAAGAAAGAAGAAAGAAAAGGAATGGAAGGAGAATGGAACAAACAAAGGAAATAACGAAAGAAGGAAGAGAGAGAAAAAGAAAGAAAGAAAGAACATTGAAAAGAGAGAAGAAAGCATGAAAGAAAGTAGAAAGGAACAGAGAGAGGGAAAGAAAGAAGAAAAGAATAGAGAGTAGACAAAAGGAAAGAACGAAGAAAGAAAAGAGAAAAGGAATGAAGGAGAATGGAACAAAGAAATGAAAGAACGTAAGAACGAAGAGAGAGGAAAAGAAGGAAAGAAAGAAGAAAGGAACAGAGGAAAGGAAAGAAAGAAGAAAGGAACAGAGAGTAGATAAAAAGAAAGAAGGAAGAAAGAAAATAGAAAGGGAATGGAAGGAGAATGGAACAAAGAGAGGAAAGACCGAAAGAAGGAAGACAGAGAAAAAGAAGGAAAGAAATAACATTGAAAAGAGAGAAGAAAGAATGAAAGAAAGTAGAAAGGAACGGAGAGAAGGAAAGAAAGAAGAAAGGAACAGAGAGAAGGAAAGAAAGAAGAAAGGAACAGAGAGAAGGAAAGAAAGAAGAAAGGACAGGGAGAAGGAAAGAAAAGACAGAAAGGAACAGTGAGTAAACAAAAGAAAGAAAGAAGAAAAAGAAAAGGAATGGAAGGAGAATGGAACAAACAAAAGGAAATAACGAAAGAAGGAAGAGAGAGAAAAAGAAAGAAAGAAAGAACATTGAAAAGAGAGAAGAAAGAATGAAAGAAAGTAGAAAGGAACAGAGAGAAGGAAAGAAAGAAGAAAGGAATAGAGAGTAAACAAAAGGAAAGAACGAAGAAAGAAAAGAGAAAAGGAATGGAAGGAAAATGGAACAAAGAAAGGAAAGAACGAACGAAGGAAGAGAGAGGAAAAGAAGGAAAGACGGAACATTGAAAAGAGAGAAGAAAGAAGGAAAGAATGAAGAAAGTAACAGAGAAAAGGAAAGAAAGACGCAATGAACAGAGAGAAGAGAGAAGGAAAGAAAGAAGAAACAACAGAGAGAAGATAGAAGGAAAGAAAGTAGAAAGGAATAGAGAGTAGACAAAAGGAAAGAACGAAGAAAGAAAAGAGAAAAGGAATGAAGGAGAATGGAACAAAGAAAGGAAAGAACGAACGAAGGAAGAGAGAGGAAAAGAAGGAAAGAAAGAAGAAAGGAACAGAGGAAAGGAAAGAAAGAAGAAAGGAACAGAGAAAAGGGAAGATAGAAAAAAAAGCAACAGTGAGTAGACAAAAGAAAAGAAAGAAGAAAGAAGAGAGAAAAGGAATTGAAGAAGAATGGAATAAAGAGAGGAAAGAAGGAAAGAAAAAAATTGAAAAGAGAGAATAGTGAAAGAAAGAAAGTAGAAAGGAACAGAGAAAAGGGAAGATAGAAAAAAAAACAACAGTGAGATAGACAAAAGGAAAGAAAAAAGAGAGAAAAAGGATGGAAGGAGAATGGAAGAAAGACAGAAAAGAACGATAGAAGGAAGAGGGAGAAAAAGAAATAAAGAAAGAACATTGAAAAGAGAGAAGAAAGAAGGAAAGAGAGAAGAAAGTAACAGAGAGAAGAGAGACGGAAAGAAAGAAGAAAGGAACAGAGAGTAGACAAAAGAAAAGAAAGAAGAAAGAAAAGAGAAAAGGAATGGAAGGGAAATGGAACAAAGAGAGGAAAGAACGAAAGAAGGATGAGAGAGAAAAAGAAAGAAAGAAAGAACATTGGAAAGAGAGAAGAGTGAAGGAAAGAAAGAAGAAAGTAAGAGAGAGAAGGGAGAAGGAAAGAAAGAAGAAAGAAAAGAGAAAAGGAATGAAAGGGTAATGGAACAAAGAGAGGAAAGATCGAAAGAAGAAAGAGAGAGAAAAAGAATTAAAGAAAGAACATTGAAAAGAGAGAAGAAGGTGGGAAAGAAAGAAGAAAGGAACAGAGAGAAGGAAAGAAAGAAGAACGGAAGAGAGAATAGACAAATGGAAAGAAAGACGAAAGAAAAGAGGAAAGGAATGAAAGGAGAATGGAACAAAGACAGAAAAGAACGAAAGAATGAAGAGAGAGAAAAAGAAGGAAAGAAAGAACATTGGAAAGAGAGAAGAGTGAAGGAAAGAAAGAAGAAAGTAAGAGAGAGAAGGGAGAAGGAAAGAAAGAAGAAAGGTACAGAGAGTAGACAAATGGAAAGAAAGAAGAAAGAAAAGGGGAAAGGAATGAAAGGAAAATGGAACAAAGACAGAAAAGAACGAACGAAGGAAGAGAGAGAAAATAAGGAAAGAAAGAACATTGGAAAGAGAGAAGAGTGAAGGAAAGAAAGAAGAAAGTAAGAGAGAGAAGGGAGAATGAAAGAAAGAAGAAAGGAACAGAGAGTAGACAAATGGAAAGAAAGAAGAAAGAAATGAGGAAAGGAATGAAAGGAAAATGGAACAAAGAGAGGAAAGAACGAAAGAAGTAAGAGAGAGAAGGAGAAGGAAAGAAAGAACAGTGGAAAGAGAGAAGAGTGAAGGAAAGAAAGAAGAAAGTAAGAGAGAGAAGGGAGAAGGAAAGAAAGAAGAACGGAAGAGAGAATAGACAAATGGAAAGAAATACGAAAGAAAAGAGGAAAGGAATGAAAGGAGAATGGAACAAAGACAGAAAAGAACGAAAGAAGGAAGAGGGAGAAAAAGAAGGAAAGAAAGAACATTGGAAAGAGAGAAGAGTGAAGGAAAGAAAGAAGAAAGTAAGAGAGAGAAGGGAGAAGGAAAGAAAGAAGAAAGGAACAGAGAGTAGACAAATGGAAAGAAAGACGAAAGAAAAGAGGAAAGGAATGAAAGGAAAATGGAACAAAGAGAGGAAAGAACGAAAGAAGGAAGAGAGAGAAAAAGACGGAAAGAACATTGAAAAGAGAGAAGAAAGAAGGAAAGAAAGAAGAAAGGAACAGAGAGAAGGAAAGAAAGAAGAACGGAAGAGAGAATAGACAAATGGAAAGAAAGACGAAAGAAAAGAGGAAAGGAATGAAAGGAGACTGGAACAAAGACAGATAAGAACGAAAGAAGGAAGAGAGAGAAAAAGAAGGAAAGAAAGAACATTGGAAAGAGAGAAGAGTGAAGGAAAGAAAGAAGAAAGTAAGAGAGAGAAGGGAGAAGGAAAGAAAGAAGAAAGGAACAGAGAGTAGACAAATGGAAAGAAAGACGAAAGAAAAGAGGAAAGGAATGAAAGGAAAATGGAACAAAGAGAGGAAAGAACGAAAGAAGGAAGAGAGAGAGAAAAAGACGGAAAGAACATTGAAAAGAGAGAAGAAAGAAGGAAAGAAAGAAGAAAGGAACAGAGAGAAGGAAAGAAAGAAGAAAGGAACAGAGAGAAGGAAAGAAAGAAGAAAAGAACAGTGAGTAGATAAATGGAAAGGAAGACGAAAGAAAAGAGGAAAGAAATGAAAGGAGAATGGAAGAAAGACAGAAAAGAACGATAGAAGGAAGAGATAGAAAAAGAAGTAAAGAAAGAACATTGAAAAGAAAGAAGAAAAGATCAGTGAGAAGAAAGAAGAAATGGTAAAAGAAAAGAACAAAGATACGAAAGAAGGAAAGAAAGAAGGGAGAAAAGTTAGAGCGGAAGTTCGAATTTTTCGTAAAATGTGCAATGCCATGATTTTAATTCTTGCCAACAACGTCCATCATTTTTAGTCATTTAAATTAACAATAAGTGACATCTATGCAACCCCCACCCCCTGATCCTCAATGCCAACGGCATTCAAATTGTTCTCTAATTCTATATTTCTCACTCTGGCTCACTCGCTCTTGTATATTCAGCGTTGCATAGACACGTAGAAATATTTTTACATACACATCTGTTGATATATTAAAAATTCTTTCGATATAATAAAATATTAAATATTTGCATCCATATTCGGGTGCAATTTTTTTTTCTTTTTTTGGCTTTTTTTTTTCTTTTTGGCTATTTCTACTGTTATTTTTTTAACTACTTTTTATTATTGTCTTTTTATTTATTATTGATTATTTTTATTGTTGTTTGTTAACAGATTGTCCCCGTTCAATATCGACTTTTATATTTGCGTCAGTACTCTCCGTGAGTTTCAGCACTTTCACCCAGAAATACAGCATATATTAAAACCATATATTTACAGTGATAGTTAAAAAAATAGATATCTGTCAATTTCAAGCTCTTCATTTTTCTCCCCCCACCCTCTCTCTCTCTCTCTCTCTGTGTATATATCTAGTACGTCCTCTCTCTCACTCTCCCCACACACACACGCACATACAGGCACATACTCATATATATATATATATATATATATATATATATATATATATATATATATATATACAGACAAACCTGCAATATATACCCGTATATATATATATATACAAACAAACCCATAATATATACCCGTATATATATATATATATATATATATATATATATATATATATATATATATACATAAACTCACATCAATCCAACCAAATATACATATATATATATATATATATATATATATATATATATATGATGTGAGTTTGTGACCTGGGTTTCACGCATTTGCGGGTTTGTCTGACGATCGCAAGAGCGTGAAACCCAGGGTCACAAACTTACATCATTCCAACCAAATATGTTAGCTCTATCTCTGATATTGAGCGCTTTCTAATAAGTACCACGCATAATATATAAATAATTATATATATATATATATATATATATATATATATATATATATATATATATATGAAGAGAAATATACTGAAAAAACAAGCGATTATGCTGTTTTAATGTTTAATGTCAACGTCGGACGTTTCGGTCTAATAGACCATCTTCAGGACATATTTATAAAACATAATTAACATAGACCATATACAATTCAACATGAAAAAGACGATGGACATAAAAGCAAGACCAATCCAAACAGATAACTGAAATCTTTTATAAGATCAGCGTTCCGTTTAAATATGATCACGTCGTCGTCACGTGGGCGACGTTGTGAAAACGTATTCCTAAAATTTGAGTATTTTGAATGAAAAACGAAAATAATTTTATTTTGATCGAAAACATATATATACCTTTGTCGAGCATTAATCTTGCTAGAAAAGGGGAAATATTAAAGATACCAGGTCTACTGTTCACCGTGCGTGAGATAGATATTAGATTTTTATTATGAAAATATTTTAAAATCTTCACAGAATCAAAATTTTATGTCCATCCTCTTTTTCCTGTTGAATTGTATATGGTCAATGTTAATTATGTTTTATGAATATGTCCTGAAGATGGCCTATTAGACCGAAACGTCCGACGTTGACACTAAACATTAAAACAGCATAATCGCATATTAGGATTTTTGTTTGTTTTTTCAGTATATTTTTCTTCATACTGTTTTATATCCATATATTTGCTTTATATATATATATATATATAAAAAAAGTGTGTGTATATATATATATATATATATATATATATATATATATATATATATATATATATATATATATATAAAGTGTGTATATCTAAACATATATATATATATATATATATATATATATATATAAATATATACACCCCACGCCCCCCATATATATATATATGTGTGTGTGTGTGTGTGTCTTGGTAAAGGTATGAATCCTCATCTTCTCCCCATAAAGCTATGGGTAAATAGCAGTACAGACCGGTTTCTATAGCCTTGGATGGCATCTGGTCTAGGAGAACGACAACTCTGAATTCAATAGCTGCGGAGCATTGGGGGACCTTGTGGTATGTGGTGCACCAGGTATCTGTATACATATATATATATATATATATATATATATATATATATATTGCATTCATCCTTATTTTTTATGTTTAGTTTAAACACCATGTTTCTCCCATAATAACCTTTTTGTAATTGTGTCTTCGACGATTTTAAGTCCAGCCTGGAATCCACACAAAATTTCACATACATGACAAGTAACAGCAGCCCCTATGAAGATTACAGGAACTTCTGAACAGTATTTAGCAATACGAAATATATATATATATATATAATAAAAAGGCTTTAAGCCTTTTTATTATATCCTTTACTCTGTCCTAGACATTGAGTTCTACCTGGATCCTTCCTCTTGGAAAAATTTTTTTTTTTCTGAAAATATACATGTATGGAAATTTTTTAGATATATATTTTTCATATGTATGTATATTTTCCACTAATATTATCTATATATATATATATATATATATATATATATATATATATATATATATATATATATATATATGTCCATAAAAGTTCCATAAAGTGTGCTTAAAAAATATTTATAACTTTATTTGTATTTGCGATAGAAATAATCTTTAAAAAATGCTATGAAGCTTAATGTACCTAGTTTTAAAGTATAGCTAAAATAACTAATGTGATTTCAGGCATTGCTGTAAATCAGTTGGCAAATGTTTTCCGTGAACTGCAAAATCGTATTACCCTTTGTATTGTTAATAATGGAGAACATGTGGAAACTTAAATAAAATTTCAATAAAACCTTCAAAGATAGAGATTTACTTCTTTCTAATCCTTTTTACAAATTATTTCTATCGCAAATACAAATAAAGTTATAATTTTTTTAAATGCACATGAACTTTATGGACAACCTGTATATTGAATAATTACAAGACTTCATCTCAAATCTTCACATGGCATAGATGAAGTCAACTGTCTGAAAACTCTGTTTAATAATTGTAAGCATGCTACATCTCCGATTGGTTAGAATCTTCGCAGTTTGACCATGAGGCCCGGGTTCGATTCTCACCATGGTCGATTTGTCTAGAAGAAGACTTCCTGATGTTATCGGACTGGATGGGGGTCGATCTCAGCGTGCGACACCTTTGGAAATTGTCTGAAAAACCATAGCACTCGTTAACCCAAGCCTTGTGAGTGAAATTAGGTAGACGAAACCCTCGGATGCCTTCGATAGCTGTGCTAGCACGTGGCCTGAGGGTTTGAGCATGCTGGCCTTGTTCAAATTGTTGATCACGCTAGATAACACGCTCTCTCCCAGGAACTGTAACTAAGGTCTGCTCAGCATAGTTGCAGTATAAACCACAGATTGGATCTGTGGGTGTTGTATAAACACAAATACGCCTGAGCAAGCGTCTGCAATAGGGATTGGCTAGCTGTCCTAATAGACGGGTATCCTCGAATACGAGTGGCCAGATATACATATATACATCTCGAAAGTTCAGATGACAAACACGAAGATTATTGTCCAGGAAATATATAGAATAAGGAACATATCATTGCAATAGTCCGTGCCAGATTTTCATTGTTGATATAAAATTACCACCAGTTGGCATTGTCGTTTGTTTAGTGTCGATTTTTTGGTGTATTTTAGATGGAGAATGGCAATTTGTTCTTTCGCCATATTTATGCGCTATGAATTTAAGAAATGAGTAAGCGTCGGAATTGCGACAAAAAAAAAAAAAAAAATACAAAACATCCAGGATATTTTTTGGATCAGGTCTTGCACTCCCAACAAGGGGTTTGGCCTCCGCTCAAATTTAACATAAACGATCAACCCCGCTCCGGTTAGCTTTGCTTTGCTTTGTTTTACGGTATATCAACCTCAATGGGTTATTTAATGCCTACAAGAATTTTATCGCTCGTAATATTTGTTTTTTTTTCAAAAATGTATTACTGATAATATCATTTTTTTCCAAAATGTATTACTGATAATATCTTTTTTCAAAAATGTGTTACTGATATCATTTTTTCAAAAATGTCTTTCTGATAATATCTTTTTTCCAAAATGTATTACTGATAATATCTTTTTTCAAAAATGTATTACTGATATCTTTTTCCCAAAATGTATTTCCGATAATATTTTTTTCTGAAATGTATTACTGATAATATCTTTGTAAAAATGTATTTCTAATATCTTTTTTCAAAAATGTGTTACTGATATCTTTTTTCAAAAATGTATTTCTGATAATATCTTTTTTCAAAAATGTATTACTGATATCTTTTTCCCAAAATGTATTTCTGATAATATATTTTCTGAAATGTATTACTGATAATATCTTTGTAAAAATGTATTTCTAATAATATCTTTTTTCAAAAATGTGTTACTGATATCTTTTTTCAAAAATGTATTTCTGATAATATCTTTTTTCCAAAATGTATAACTGATAATATCTTTTTTCAAAAATGTATTACTGATATCTTTTTCCCAAAATGTATTTCTGATAATATTTTTTTCTGAAATGTATTACTGATAATATCTTTTTTTTTTCAAAAATGTATTACTGATAATATCTTTTTTCAAAACTGTGTTACTCATATCTTTTTTTTCCTAAAATGTATTGGTGATAATATCTTTTTTTCAAAAATGTATTCCTGATGATATCTTTTTTTTCCAAAATGTATTACTGATATCTTTTTTCCAAAATGTATAACTGATAATATATTTTTTTCAAAAATGTATTACTGATAATATCTTTTTTGTTTTTCCAAAATGTATTGCTGATAATTTTTTTTCCAAAAATGTATTGCTGGTATTTTTTTTCCAAAAGAGTATTGTTAATAAGTTTGTTTTTTTTTTCCAAAAATATCTTACTGGTATTAAAACCTATTTTTACATTTTCATCGTGTTTTGACCCCTGTTTGGGGGTTAA